CTGATTTCTGACTCAATCTGTGATAACAGATCTGTCTTCTTAATGCAGTATGTTCTGGAGATATAGTTCAAAAAGACTACATGGTTGTTTTTTAAGGTACACTTTAAGTGTCGACTAAAAGGCAAATATCAGAACGGAAGAACTATTTAATAAAGCATTTAAAAATCCTTTTTAGTATTCTATGGCATCTATGACCTGCTAAAATCTAATTATTTCTCCAATACTCTGTGGAATTGCTCAGAAAGATGTGGTACAGTTTCTAACTGGTGCATTAAGCATCTGGCCTGACTTCACAGAATTCCAGATAGCTGAATGTGCACTCTATATTTTATTAACCTCACATAGGCTCGTGCTTCGATGCTGGAGTTCCTGGAGTTCCCTGCTATGTGTTGCTACCTGTTGACAGGGTAGGCTAGACTCAAGGGTCTACAGACAGAATAAAATTTCAAAGATGTCCCAGCAACTTTAACAGAAACTCTGGCCAAAAGAAAAGAGAGAGAGAGAAAAACGGAGGAGCTTCAAGTCTATACATTTCTGAAACACACACACGTTTCAGTATACCAAACCCCTGAAAGCGATGATCTCTTGCATCCCTTGCTTCCTTCTCCAGCTTGAAGACTCCCTGTTTCTAAGAAGGACCCACTTTAAGCACAGCTCCTAAGGGGCAGAAGTTCACCAGCTTGTCTCCCCAGTTTTTTATAGTAGCTTCTGGAATAGAATCTATTCAGGTCTACACAAATGAGAGAAGAGGAGCTTCTAGGAAAAGCCTCACTCCCTGGAACACTGCGCTAACCGGGGATGCTACCTGCACAGCTGGTGCTCCTGAAAGGAAAGCCAGGACTCCCCAAGGCCCACCGTACACAGCTTAAGGTCTGCTGACACTGAAAAGGCCAGAACCGAGAGCAGGGAAACCGTTTCCATGCTGACAAGTCTTAAGTTTTACCTGAAGCCATTTGGGATGGCTGTCAACTCGGCAGTGCGGCTCAGACCTTCGGTGGCTTGCAAGCCAAGGGGCAGATGTTTACCATACCCAAGCCAGAGCTCCCTTTTCTCCCTCCTGGGGCTAGAAAGATTCTATACTATCATCAGTAGCCTCCAGGGACAGAAGATCAGCAGCAGTGTTTCTAACTTAAATAAACTTTGATGCGTCCTAAGATTTAATCTCAGAACATCACGGGTGGTGGTGGTGTGGGATCATCTACTCTAGCAATGTCTTACAAGGTAGTCAGTGAGCGTGTGTGATGAGGACGATGAGAAAGCCTCCGCATAAGCAAGTTAGGAGCCTGGCTCCCCTGTGTAACGCCTAGTAAGTGTGGTTTCACCGGGATGTAGTCAAAGCAATCACTTTTCTTCTTGAGAAAATGGCACAGCCTGAAAAAAAACCTGATCTCAAATGTAATGCCCCCCCCCCAATTCTGACAAGAGAACAACACCTGGTATTAAAAAAAAAAAAAGGAAAAGAAAGAAAGAAAGAAAGAAAGAAGGGAGGGAGGGAGGGAGGGAGGGAGGAAGGAAGGAAAGGAAGAAAGGAAGAAAGAAAGAAAGAAAAGAGAAAAACAGAACAAACAAACAAAACATCCACATACTCCTCTGATAAGGCATGTTACAAACCTTCTTGGGGCTGTAAACCTAGAATGTGGTCCATTCCCAAGCTGCTTGCTTCCTTTCTGAAATACATTGTCTCAGGAACAATGTTACGTTCATGCATCATCTTACAAAACACAAGGAAATGCAAAGTAACAACAAGTATCTTTCACTCCCCCCCCCAAAAAAAAAAAAATTTCCAGGGCTTAACCAGATTTTAACACAGAAACATGAAGCCCTGTGATAGGAAATAAGCAGGACAGTCCCCTGCCTCCACTGCACTCCCCCCGCCCCTACAAACCAACTCCCAAGAGAAATGTGCCAACCATGTTTGTTGACCCTCTCCTACCAGCACTGAACAATATTCCTACTTCCCGCACGCCTAAATGCCCCCATCAGTAACAGCAGCTATCACGTTGCTGGGCAGTAACCATGAGTCATGCTCTGAGCTAATACACTCTGAAACATTAAGTGACTTGTCTGTGGTCATGTGGCAAAGTCCAAGAGAGAGCCCCGAGGAACGGAAGACTGTGAGGCCCCCATGCTCACTCTCAGCTGCCCTCCACATGCATGCTTTGAGTCCTTCCTGCTGTGAGACTTCCAGGCCCAGCCTGGAGGGTATTACTAAGGAAAACTGCTACTCTCCCCCTTCTCCAACTAGGACATTGATCCTTTCTTGTTAGTCTTCTTTAGAATGCACAGCAGGAAAGCAGAAGGAACATTTGAACCTTGCTGGAGGAGGGGCCGGGAACAGCCTCTTGAGCACATGTTAAAGCAAGGTCCCCGCAGCCAACAGAGGGAATGTCAGGGTCTGATAGCGGCAACAAGTGGACGCCCCCACCGCCTCCCATCCAGAGGTGCCTAGAAGAACCCTAAGCCTGGAGACTCTTGTTTGGACTCTGGCACACACATGGGGGAAGCGGAAAACTGTCTTCTGACCTCCACACTTACATCACAACGTGTGTGACAACCCCCACAGACAGACAGATATGTGTAATTTAGAGTTCCAACGGAGCATATACGTTTGTAAAAGGGAAGAAGACAGCCATTTATGCTTCACCCCCTTCCTCCTCCTCCTCTTCCTCATCTTCTGGGTCATTCTTCTTTGAGCCTATTGGCCTACCAGGAGCCTTCTTTTCTGCTTCACTTTTGCCCTTAGTGCACTATGCAATGCAGTAATATTCTTTTCTTACTTCTTTAGTTCTGCTGCTTTCTGCTCATCTGACACAGACTCACTTGCCAGCTTTTTGATCAATTTCTCCTGGTGGGATTGCCTGGCCTGGCCACAGGGGAAGAGGACATTCTCAGTCTTGATACAACTTGATGAGATGGGGTGGATGGGAAAGGGAGCTCTCCTTTTCTGAGGAATAAAGGAGGGGGAAGGAGGGAGAGTAGAACTGGGAGGGGAGGAAGGTGGGGCTACAGCCAAAATGTAAAGTGAATTAAAGGGGGGGGGGATAGTTGAAGGCTCTGTTAAGATTTGCCTCTAAAGTTAGTACCTCCAGGGTAGATTACATTTTTGACAATTTCTTGCACACTGCCACACTTTGAATTCTCGGCCGGGGGTGGGGCAGGACGTGTTAACTAGCATTCAATACATTCTTGCCACCTTTATTTCCCACGTGATGGAACCAAAGCCAAGAGCAGTAATAAGCGGGCAGGTAACAAACGGCAGCCTGGGAACTCAGTCCCCGCAGTGCCTTGCTCCCAGGCCAGCCTTTCCTTTAGATACCTATAACCCAAACTTCCCATTTACCTTTCTTTTCTGTTGGAGGTTTTCAGGCAGCTGAATGGAGACAAAACTGATTAAATATGGATATAAGCCCACAGGAATTTGGTCAGGCAAAAAATTTCCTTTTTAAATACAATCAAGTCTCATCTGAAAATGGCCTCTAGAAAGAATTATTGCAAGAAATAATTTAATCCAGGTGTTTGATTTCAGTAACTGAAAACACACCCATCCTTTCCTGGGTGGTGGGGGAGGGTAGCAGAGAGTCCTACTTCTCTTTCCTTCAAAAATCCAGCAGTCACCTCACAGTTTAACCTGCACCTACTTCTGAGAAACCGCCTTTTCAACAGATGTTAAAATGCTAAAAGTCCTACTTGGCTTCCATTGGCCAGTCCTCAGAAGTCAGCAAGAGAGCAATCATGGAACAATGGGTGTCAGAACATCTCTTATCAAGGGGGTCACCTTCCACTCAGATGGCACCCTTTCTTGGAGGGGAATTCAAAAGGTCAAACAGCTGCCAAACACACACATAAACTAGATGAAGCTAATGAAGAGAAAATAGCCGCATACTCCTGAGACAACTAGCCTTCAGAGACCAACAGAAAATTTCCTAGAAAGGATAAAGTCAGGAACTTGGAAGAATCAAGTAAATACAGAGGATAAAGGAAATGGCTGTTTGGGTAAATACAGAAACGATATCTACCTTTTCAAACCATTTCCCTAGGAGGAAGCTCACCAGTCCAAAATAACAGAAAAATGATGAGAAAAATTATACCTGGAAATTAAAGTCTTAAAATCCTGTTAATTAGGCACAGAAATCTCAGTGTCTTGCAACTGTCAATATTTATTCATGTACTCAAATGAAAACGAATTAGTCCTGGCAGAACCTTCTCTCACCTACTCTAAGAACCTGCCTCTGAACCCACACTCACGAAAGCAGAGAATGTAAGAAAAGAGTTCTAGCTAGTCTTCACCTTTTATTTCAGAGAGACTGTTAAATATGAGTGACGGATTCTACCTAGTTCTAAAGCAGAAGTGTGCCCTACGCACTCTGGTTAAGCGGTCTCTGGAACAGTATGTGAAACAAGCTTTATTACGTAAAAAATACTTGTGGAGAAAAAAACCCTTCACTTCCCATTAAGACTGCTTTCTTCAATACTTTTATCTTTCTCTTGTTCATTTTTCCTTTCTCCTAAGTGACTCATCATTTGAACCAGCTTTCTCTTCATTTGCCAAATAAATATCAGTTGGTATTGCCATCCTCCATTCTCCACAGATATAACATGATTACGATTGTAACGTAATAAAAGTGATCTGACTTTCCTTAACTTATTTTCCATACGAACGGCTCGGGCATGAGACACCTGTGTCTCTGTTGTGATCTTATAAATATCCTTCTGGTGTACCTGTGTTTTTCTGAGTGTAGTGGTAAACTACACTCAGAGTTTAGGGACCGCGGAGATTCCGAGAGCTGCCTACAAACCAAATGGCATCCTGGCTTTGGCAAGCTGAGCGGCTCATTTCGGCTTCTCTCGCCCCCTCTAGCGTTGGCAAAACTCATCTGTCTGATTATCCAGTTACCTCACTGAACAAGAGCCCGGCTAAGTCCTGCCCACCTATGACATCAGCCCTTCCTCCACCACTGCGAGGTGAAGCTTTAAACTTCAGCCCTGGAGGTGGGCTGCGCGCAGTCAACTGGATGCTCCCGCGCGCAGTGCTCCGCGCAGCAGCGATCAGAAGCAGGACGGGCTCCCGGCTGCAGCTGCTGTGGCTTTGTGTGCGCTGGATGCCGCGCTCCGGAGACGGGGGAGGGTTTTCGCTTCAACTCGCAGGCAATGGAATTACAGCGGTAGCAGCGGGGTATAAAGGATTGCCTTTTTCTCGTCTTCCCGGTAAGTGTTTTCCATGCTTTTTCTTACCATTGTCCCGGAAACTTCCCTGGCTGTTCCTCTCTAGAAAGAAATGACTTGCTTAGTTCCATGCGAGACCCACGGTAGCCACGTCTGCTCTGTCAGCAGGACCAGCCAAAGACGTGCGTGCCAGCCAGGGAAAGTAACCAAAGAGCCAAATGCGAGAAGTTTCTTACAGACTCACGTCGTTAACAAATAAATAAATAACTAGCTCCTCTCTGTTCCAAGCAATTGCTATCGGCACAAAGCTTCACGGAAAACTGCAAGTTGGAAAGTTGGGTGTTTGCGATAGAATAGGAGGCAGATTTTCCTCGGTACCAGAGCGAAAGGTCGCTCACTTGGTGTGGACTGTGTGTGTGGTGTGCTCGCCAATCTCTGTTTTTATAACTGTGAAAGAAAATCAATGAGCCCTCAGCCCCGAGTGCGCAGGCCATGAAAAGCACACACGCCGCTCACGGCCAGCGGGGCTGCCCGGGGAGACTGTGATGCCTCGGTAGAGGGTAACAGCTACACCTAGATCTGAAACCTCGCACTGCTCAGCCTGCCACAGCTCCTTCAGGCATTTCAGGCTCGGGAATCTCAACTAGGAAATTCACAGTCTCGGGCCAAACCATATTCCCAGGCCGGGAGAATGCCAAAACCCATCGCTTGGGCGAGTGTAGAATGTGACCAGCATAGTAACTGAGTAAGTCCACCCAGAAAAACTAACAAAGCTCTCACCCTGGGAGCCTTGCTTGAGCTATGCAGTGAGGGGAGCAGGGAGCAAAGACGGGAGCCTCACCAAATGGCAAAGGCAGAGTGCCCACTCACTTGGAACTCAGTGGAAAAATCTCATATTGGAACAAATGCATGTAGACTACAAAGCTTCCAAAAGGCATTTTAATGTATCTGCTTTAAAAATATGTTTTTCAGTAAATTGTGTCTGAAACAAAATGGTTGCATGAAGGTGAAGAGTGCAACAGGCCCGTCTTTCCCCAGCACTGGGAGGGGGCTTATTTATTTAGAATTAATTGGAAATAGAAAATGTTGGCGTTTTTCAATTGCAAAATCAAACGGCTTTAATAATTAGTTATTTTGATTGTTCTCAATAAATTTGCACTTCAAAAAGCACAGATTTGCTGTGCTGTTAGGATGAAACATGATCAGAGCCATGGAAAGTGCTTTGGCTGTAGCAATTCCTTCATTCATCCCTAACTGCACAGGAATATCCTGACCAGGATAAAAAGAAAGGGTGAACCTGTCAGCTCCCGGGCTAAAACCACTTATCCCTGCCTCCGAGTGACAGGTGACTGACACCTATCTCTTTGGAAATGAGTAAGGAAAGTAATCCTTTTAAAGTACCGTAAGCATACTGCTATTACTACAAAGATTAAAAATCGCAGTATGCTATGACCATGCAAAGGTTGGTTATTCCGCTTAGCTTCAGGTCTATATGGATGCATGTACATCTACATACTTGTCAGCCTAAAGTGAGGGGAAAGGTTAAAAACGTCACTACATGTGTTTAACGAAAAAAAAATCAGCTTATTCTATTAATAGAAGACTCCCACGGGCTAGAAAATATATTAGTAAATGAAGAAACATAATGAATTCATCATTAGTAGGGTATTCCAATAGTGGCATCAATCAGTTATTAATCAGGCTTTCTGCTTCTTGGCATACCCCTTTTAAAATCGATTCTTACTAGGTTCAAATGTCCACTTAAACAATTTCTGAATCGAATGTTTATGAGAGACATAACTGGCAGCAAATAAAATTTTTACAAAAGTGTGAAAAGAACTACAAAACAAAACAGGAAATTTGTCATGACTAAATGTGGCAGCTAATAGAGGCTATGTTTCTTTTGCTTTCAAGTGTTAATTAAGGAGCCTCTGATTCTATCAAAACTTTTTCAGAGCTAAATGAAGCGGTGTGAAATAAATTTGGTTGAAATCTTGTGGCTGTCAGACTTTGTTAGCGAGCTATTAATTATCTTTACCCCAGTTTCTTCTCTGGCTATATCGCCCAATCAAATAGAAACTCCAATTATACTCAGCGTCTCCTGCCTAGGGACACAAGACCCCAATGAACAGTCAGTCTCTCCAGATGAAAAGTACAATTATCAGTTTTAAACATGCAAATGCAAGCAATGCAGATTTTCCCCAGTGCTTTTTCTTGGCCACACATCCCAAGGCAGTCTCTTTCTGGGTTATTTTGAACAGTTTTAAACCTAACACATGTTAATGGCTGGGAGTATACCTTATTTTAATATTATATAAATGTTTCTTGCATTTTAGTTATGCTAGGCCAATGTTCATATGAATGGTAAATTAAATCTGGTCATTTAAAAATATTGAGTTTAGAGTGGCCATTTCAGTCAGTCTCAATCCTCTTCCCTTTTAGAGGTGGGTGGGCTCCATAGCAAAGAATGTGATTAATGGCAAAATCTAAAGCTAAGGTAAAATTTCTGAATAAACCCTTTTCTGAATTCTCTAATTCATAACAGTCCAGTAAACGGCATTATAAATAGTTGTTTCGTGTCAAGTGAAGAGCACCATAAATAAAATCAAGGAGGGAGATAGGATTCGGTGAATTTCTGAAAAGCCTTGATTCCTCCCCCTCCTCCTCCCTTAGAACCCACCCCCACCTTTTGCCCCAGAGGCTTTCCCTGTTCTTCTCAACGGGAGGCTTTGTTGTAATTAAAGCAGAGAAAAACTGGCCAGCAGCAGCCAACGTCTGACTTGCGGCTTCTGCAAGCAGTGTTCTGGTAGCGTGCCACCCCCCAGCGGGCAAACGCGACAGTAAATCTCAGCAGCAGCAGCCCGCAGGACGGGGTGCGCCCCGGCATCTTCTATCGTGCTTCAGACTCCAAACATCACCAACCCCATTTCCAACCGAGAGATGGCTCTGGCTAAACTGTTTTCAAGAAAGGGATCCTTCCTTTTTAAAACCAAAATAGATATATTCCTTTCAGAGAGCACTTTTGAAATGTGTCTAAACATCACAACAACACAGACAGTTTTGAAAGCCATCTTATGCCGCAGCAGAGGGAGCTTCCAGGACTCAGCTGTATCCATTAATAAGAATCCACAGAATCCACGATAAGGAGAAAGGCATAGAAGACAATTTAGTTGATAGGTAGCGTCTCCGTGCCTTGTATCTGCATAATCTCTCTCGCATTCTAAAATCAAGTGTCAGGGATGCATGAAAAGCTCTTTCCAGGTATTAGTCTGCCCAAAGGGGGAGAGTCAGAAATTGCTCTCACTTGATGAGACAATGACAGCTTCTGTTCTTTCACTTGCCATGCACCAGTTACCGTGGCAACTTTGAAGCGAGCGCCCGCAGGCCACGGTGGCTTCAGCAGGGCTTCTTAGAGCGCGCCACTGGAGTGTGGGTACGGCGGCTCTGTTAATGAACGCCTTGCTCAGACCTAAAGAAGCCATGTATTTCCTGATTTCAGTTGCTCTCGCTAACCAGAACGGAGACTGTCACAAAGGTGACTCAAATAAATAGTTGTCAAACTAGTGCATGAAAACGTAAAGACTGTAAAGGGAGGCTGGATCCACACGCCGGAAGTGGACCTTTAGGTCTGCAGTGTCAGTGTTTCTGGGTTGATACAGGCAGGCGGCCTTTACGTCAGGGCTGCTCACATGTGGGCACACACTAAAGCCCTGTGCAAGTCACCTCCCCTCAGTTGTCCCAACTTCCTTCAGGCCTGAGCTCTCTACTTCGTTCAGTCTGAACATCATGGAAGGAAGCGCCTGTGGTGTAAGGAGAGGCACCACCTCAGCCTTTGCCTTAAATATGCTTGATTCCACTTTACAGACAAACTAAATGAAGCAAATGCAGAGTTAAGACACATTTATAACAAACTCAGTGGGGCAATCCTGTCGCTTTGGGGAACTTTTTATCTCCTGATTTCCATAAACGAAACAACCTTCTTCAGGTTAGAACAGACTCTGGACAAAACCAAGAATAAAAAGGTGCACATGCTTTTTTCTCCGCCTCTTGGTAACCCCTGCAGACTTCCTGACTGAGGAGGACAGTTAGAGGCCCTTCTGCTTGCCTGTTAAACAAAGGAATTGGGACTTTCCTGAAATCTGAGGATCGTGGAGAATTTAGCAGTCAGACAGGCTGCTTGGAGAACATTTGCTGTCACTCCTCACTAAGCCAGTCCAGTTTTCCATTTCCGCCATGTACATGGCTGAGATACATTTACTGCTGCAGAACCTTAGCACGCACAGGTTGCTCATTAGGTGAGCGATTTTCGCCTTCACAAACAAATGACTTTCCTGATGTGCTAGACGCTGCTTGTGGACATTCCAGTTTAGTTAGAAACATTCACAATCGTGGGCAGATTTGTATAAGCATATATTCGGTATATATCTTTGGTATCAGAGCTTTACTAAAAATAATGCAACTAATTTTGATTGCAAATCTTAAATGCTGTCTTACTTTTAAAATTAATATTTTTAAAAAGTTTCTGCCATTGAGAAATCACTCTGTGAGTCAGATTAATAAAATGGAACTCAAACCTCACATTGACTTGATGTAGACTTTCTTCAAAGTGTATTCATCAAACAAGTTAAATCAAAGTTAACCTGAGTAAAAGGTAGTAAATACAAGGTGCACAAAGTCATCACTGCCACACACCTCTACTCTAAGCTGACTCACATTCTCGAAACTGAAAGAGTGCCTCCCCAGGCAAAGCCTCCTTCCACTGGGAGAGAAGAAATAACGCAAACATACACATCCATCAAGTTCTTGATTTGATCTAAATGTCAGTGTCTTGTTGAGAAACAACTTACTGATATTTACTAGTTTCCATAAAACATTTCCAAAGAACAGCATCTTTATCTATTCATGTACTTCCTTTTGATATATTATGAAAATAAATTAGAGATTTCAGACTGGGTTAGGGTTATAAACCATTTGAAAAAAAAAAAAAGATTTTTATTTTGAAAAGAAACAATCAAAAGATGCCTGTTTAAATAATCTGCTTCACCAGTAAGGTGAGTGTGCTTTTCTTTTAGCTGAGGCTTAAGTGTTACATACGTAACGATTCCATTAAAAGCAGTTTTAGAACACGCCACTACGCACCAGGCCTCTGCTTAGGCTTTCCCCCAAGGTCCCCCAGGGGCAATATCTTTCTGGAGGATTGATGCTTCTGGTTCAAAAGCCTTTTTCAAGCCCATGCCCACAGACCCCTCTGAAGCCAGGGCTGTGGAGCTGGACACTGTCTTCACCATCCATATTCAACCACAAGCTCTGTGCCTGAAAACCAGCTCAGAGACCAAGTGTAGGTATGGGAGTTGCTTATGATGGAGAGCTCACTAGAATATTAAATACGCCAAAAGACCCTATGTAGCTCGATGGCTTAGCTATGAAGAGGCTATAAAATGCAGTCAACTGTAGGCTCAGCAGTTTCGACCTGAAAGTGGTAGGGGCAGGTGAGAGAGCTGTATGAGTGTCCATTTGCAAGACTGCCCTTCTCTGAGCAAGCATTTGTTTTTATGCTTTTGCTTTTAGTTTTAATGAAATTTGAAGAGAAGTGAACGGCATTCTTCTCATGATTTAGTAAGGCTTAAGGTTTTCTGTCAGTCCATACTGTTTGCACTTTTTTATGAAGAACAAATGTTGAGTTTGCATATCAACAGCGGTGCTAGCAATTTTGTAAGTGCAAAACAGGTAAAATGAATTAATCTCTGCTTTCACATCAACACTTATTCCATCTCTGGTTAAAAAAGTAAGATTCAATTCATATATTCTTAAGGCCTAGTTTGGCAAAATAGATGTGAGATTTTTCTGTTCCCTCTTTTTCTTTTGAAAGCAGCTAGTGCAGCTATTTTATCCCCGATTCTCATTATGAACCTCACATTGTGGTTTGTCCTGAATGAACAATCAGCCATTTTCATGTCCCATTCAGTGGATCCTCCTTCTGACCTCTGAAGTATGCCCTGTTTACCAAGGCCCCAGAACATAAGAAATACTTGATGACTGCCCAGTTTCTACATGTTCTCACTTGTCATTTGCATAGTAGTTTTAAATTAATTTCTAAAGCAAGTTAATGGAAGTAATTATCTCCTTTCCGTAAAACAACCATAATTTCATACGTTGGATTATTTTCAAGGTTAGAAAACATTTACAGCAAAAGTGACTTTATAGTTAAAATTTCGCCAGCATGGTTTCCCACTCTCACACACATAGAAGGTAACATTTTACAAGCAAATACACTATTGAAATCTAGTAGTCATATGAAAAGCCCTTACATTACCCCCAAACCATTTAAGCTTTGCAGTGCGGGCACTTGGCAATATACACGAGTCTGGTTTATCTATCTACCAACTACTATTTTTAGGTTGTTTAAACTTAAGAAAATGTGTATTTGCTATTTTGAGTTCATTTAGTATTAATATAATGCACGACATCATTAGTGTCTAGTGACAAACTAAAAAAAGTGGGGATTTTGCGATAACAAATAGGAACACGAACTGTAGCTTTGGTTAACATACACTCTCAGTAAATTCTGGAACAGATGCTGTCCTTGTTGGATGCTGGGTGGCAGCGGGCAGAGAGGCAACCCAGTCCTCTAGTTTTTAATCTCAGGGTCGATATTCTCTTGTACCCAAATGTCCTCTGTACGTATGGAAGATGATGAGTGGGTGACCCTGAGTAACCCATGCTCACACTTATCCCCTTGTCCAATCCCCTAAAAATCCTCAGGAGTCTTCTATCGGGATGATAGGCAAAGCAGTCACAGCTCAATGACTGGTCCTTTTTCAGAAGTGAGAACTACAGGCTGTGGGGGGCTGGCATATTTGTGCTTTACACCAAGAAAGAGAGATGCCTCAGGGCCCTAGTCTCCCTAAGCGACCCCTGCACAGAGATGGAGCAAAATAATGGCCTTCCTATTGGAAACATAGATTTTTTTTTAATTCAATGTGCTGAAAGAAAAGTATTCTCTTTTTAAAAATGCAGTTTAGAAATCCTAACTGTGACTTGAATTTCTATACTACAATGTGGCAAAGCCGCGAGTCCCGGAGTTCCCAGCTCACAGGAGAGCCCAGCTGTAGCTTCAGGAGGAAGATGAGGGTGCCACACTCTTCAGCCAGGAAAACGGAAATCCAAAGAAAAAGCAGAAAAGTGATGTCTTTTTAACACTTTAAACGGTAGACGGTGTGAGTCATGAAAACATCTTCCAGCAGTTCAGCGTGATTACGGTGTTTTTATCAAAGGCCTTCACTGTGCATTTGCTTCTTCCTTTGCCATGCTCTTCTTTTAAGCCTGATGCACAGGCATCAGGAAGGGAACTTGACCCTGACAGGGTATCACTGCTTCTTAAGTGAAGTTTTGCTTCTGTGTTTGAATTCAGTGTGACACTAAGGATCACTTAACAACGGGAGTTACCAGTTGAATGACAGTCTTGTATCTGGCTACAACTTAATGTGTACAGTTAAGTTGTAAACACAAACAGAGAGAGGTCATTCCACCACTTCCACCAGCTGTAGGATGGAAGATGTATCACTTACGGGAAACCATTGACGGTGCACCTCCAGGAAGTTCCTCTAGGAAATTAATTTTCAATACTAATAGTATCACTTTTTTTTCTTTCTTTAACAGGAGGCGCTCAGGCCTGGCCTGTTTTAAAGAAGAGAAGTATAAAGGAAATTGGACGTGCTTCCTTCTCTTCCCATGAAGACTGTTCGCATTGTTTCCTTTGCTTCTTAACAGAGACTCCACTCATTCTGGGGGAACGTGGCTGAGACGGAAACCCTGCAAAGGCAGCACGAAGCAGAAATAGCTATCCCACAGCAGGTAATCACAGCTCAGGATGTAGCTACTGTACAGAGTTTGTACTTGGATAACCCTGGATGGGAATAAAGGTAGGGGCTAAGTGCCTGGGAGACCTGTTACTACACAGGCCTTAGCGTCACAAACGGCTTTCTTCATGAGCAGCTGAACTCTTTGTCTCTGACCACATTGCACAGAAGAGCCAATAAGAATTTCAAAGAGGGCAGTTTCCACTGAGGGAATTAAGGTATACAAAAGGAGTCATCACATGAAACTATCAGGAAAAAAAAAAAAAAATATATATATATATATATATATATATATATATATATATATATATTAGGAAGCCACGTGTCCTCCGTAGTGTCCGGAAGCTGAGCTGGTTCTGGCCCCCACTTTAATGATCTTGCCCACCGTGCCCACCGTGCCAAACGAAGCACAGCTGGATGTCCACTGGCAGCAGCGCGCCTGAGCTGGAGGCGCCTGTGGCTTAGGATTACTTGAATAAACAGTGAAGAACATTTCCAAGGAGGAAAGAGTTTCATAGTCCCAGCCCCCACCAAGAAAATAACATACGTGCATTGGACTGTGACCCGCGTAAAATTACATCACTCAATAAGGTAGGAAAATATTAAGCTATTTCGTCTTCATGCCTGAAATTAGAAAGGCTGATCACTAGCTAGCGGTGCAGAAGGGAGGAGAACGCGTGGCATCTCCACAAATTTATAGTTCTCCAGCCCGTGGGGAGACTGGAGCTAGCTTAGAATTCAAAGACAGACAGTGTGCTGTCAGAATGTGTGAGGCTGAAAATAACAAAGACCTGATCAACTTATCAAGCCGTGCGGTATGAAACCTAACAAAATGGGTACAGGGAAAGAAGGTCAGCACAAAATGGAATTTTCCATTTTCACCAACTTGACAATCACTTGTACAATTCTTTCCCTGAAGAGAGTGAACTATTTCTTCCTAGTTTCTTTCGAGAAATACCTTTTAAATAATGTTTAATATTAATATTAAGTAATAATATTAATAACAAAAGCAAACGCTTGGCTTTACTAAGGTTAAAGAACTCAGGGTTTGTTTAGCCAATTATTCCAGAAGAGTAAAAGCATAGATGTTTTCCCTTACATACATATGTCTATTCTTTCATGATCATTTGCCAAAGGAGACAGAAAACACTGGCGTGTATGTATGTATATATATATATATATATATATATATATATATATATATATATATAGTAATAACAAATTGTGTCGCTCTAAGTCAGTTTCTATGAATATGTAAAAAGTTAGAAATTTGATAACCTTCATGAGACTAGCTGAATGATATAAATTATAATAAATTATAATTTATGCCTTCATGAGACTAGCTGAATGATATAATTATAATTTAAAATATTTTGAATATGTAATTATATTTAACATTTTAAAGTAAAATGGATTTGAACGTGATAGTTATAAATTTATACTTCGGAGGAGCTCGAGGCAAAAAAATGAGTGTGTTTGTTGCTAGATAACAGTGAGTCCTGGCCTGCTTTTCTCTTAAAATTAAAATACTGAACCCGACTACAGATGTCTCCATTTCCGCATCTGTTCTTGAGACCCTTCAGTGTTCTGACCTAGTAATTTTCTGCTGTTTCTTCTCGTAGCGACAGAGCTGCGTGCTGTCCAGACCTCGACGCTGCTGACCATGATCAGCCCAGTCTGGAGCCTCTTCTTCATCGGGACTAAAATCGGGCTGTTCTTGCAAGCGGCACCGCTGTCGGCGATGGCTAAACCCTGCCCCTCCGTGTGCCGCTGTGACGCGGGCTTCATCTACTGCAACGATCGCTCCCTGACGTCCATCCCGGCGGGCATCCCGGAGGATGCCACGACGCTCTACCTTCAGAACAACCAGATCAACAACGCCGGCATCCCCTCCGACCTCAAGAACCTGCTCAAGGTACAGAGAATATACCTGTACCGCAACAGCCTGGACGAGTTCCCCACCAACCTCCCCCGGCGCGTGCGGGAGCTGCACCTGCAGGAGAACAACATCCGGGCCATCACGTACGACTCGCTCTCCAGGGTCCCGTTGCTGGAGGAGCTGCACCTGGACGACAACTCGGTGTCGGCGGTGAGCATCGAGGACGGCGCCTTCCGCGACAGCACCCGCCTGCGCCTGCTCTTCCTGTCCCGGAACCACCTGAGCACCATCCCGGGCGGCCTGCCCAGGACCATCGAGGAGCTGCGGCTGGACGACAACCGCATCTCCACCATCTCGTCGCCGTCCCTGCACGGCCTCACCAGCCTGAAGCGCCTGGTGCTGGACGGGAACCTGCTCAACAACCACGGCCTGGGGGACGCGGCGTTCCTCGGCTTGGCGAACCTGACGGAGCTGTCGCTGGTGCGGAACTCCCTGACGGCCGCGCCGGTGAACCTCCCGGGCGCGAGCCTGCGCAGGCTCTACCTGCAGGACAACCACATCAGCCGGGTGCCCCCCAACGCCTTTTCGTACCTGCGGCAGCTGTACCGGCTGGACATGTCCAACAACAACCTGAGCAACCTGCCGCACGGGATCTTTGACGACTTGGACAACATAACGCAACTGATCCTTCGCAACAACCCCTGGCATTGCGGGTGCAAGATGAAATGGGTGCGGGATTGGTTACAGTCGCTCCCCGTGAGGGTGAACGTGCGCGGGCTCATGTGCCAGGCCCCAGAAAAGGTCCGGGGCATGGCCATCAAGGACCTCAGCGCCGACCTGTTTGACTGCAAAGACAGCGCGGGGGCGAGCACCGTTCTGGTCACCACCGCCGCACCCAACACGGCGCATCCCGCGCAGGGGCAGTGGCCGGCCCCCGTGACCAGGCACCCGGACAGCCACAACCCCAGGCTCGCTAAGGATCAGCGGACTACGGGCAGCCCCTCGCGGAAAACCATCCTCATCACTGTCAAGTCCGTCAGCGCGGACACGATCCACATATCCTGGAGGCTCGCGCTGCCCATGACCGCCCTGCGACTCAGCTGGCTGAAGCTGGGCCACAGCCCAGCCTTTGGATCTATAACAGAGACCATCGTCACGGGGGAGCGCAGCGAGTACCTGGTCACCGCCCTAGAGCCCGACTCCCCCTACAGAGTGTGCATGGTTCCCATGGAAACCAGCAACCTCTACCTGTTCGATGAAACGCCTGTCTGCATTGAGACGGAAACTGCCCCTCTTCGAATGTACAACCCCACGACCACCCTCAACCGCGAGCAAGAGAAAGAACCTTACAAAAACCCGAGTTTACCTCTGGCCGCCATCATTGGCGGGGCCGTGGCCCTGTTAAGCATCGCGCTCCTGGCCTTGGTGTGCTGGTACGTGCACAGGAACGGGTCGCTGTTCTCGCGGAACTGTGCGTACAGCAAAGGGAGGAGAAGAAAGGATGACTATGCAGAAGCCGGCACTAAGAAGGACAACTCCATCCTGGAAATCAGGGAAACGTCTTTCCAGATGCTACCGATAAGCAATGAACCCATCTCCAAGGAGGAATTTGTAATACACACCATATTTCCTCCAAATGGGATGAATCTGTACAAAAACAACCACAGTGAAAGCAGCAGTAACCGGAGCTACAGAGACAGTGGGATTCCAGACTCGGACCACTCACACTCCTGATGCCGCGCCAAACTGTTTTTAGACCTAAGAAAGGTGACGGTAGAAGCTCCGTTCTACTGCAAAACACTGGAAAAGAGACTGGGAAAAGCAATGTACTGTACATTTGCCATATAATTTATATTTAAGAACTTTTTATTAAAAGTTTCAGATTTCAGGTTGCTGCTGCGGTTGATGTAGCGGGGACGCCTGAACACAATTCTCTATTTTAGTATTTTTTAGTAATTTGTACTGTATTTTCCTTGAAGATATTGAAGTTATAAACCATTTCCTTTGTGTTCTACTGAGTAAGATGACTTGCTGACTGTGAAAGTGAATTTTCTTGCTGTGTTGAACAATCAGGACTGCGTTCACATGAGATCCTTGTAGTATAAGCACAGGCCGTTTTTCACTTTGGTATTAATACAATGTAAAAAAGAAAACTGGCTGAATGAGAAAAATAAATTTCAAAAACTAGTTATGAAATAATGTTCCAATGATTAAATTTGTATTATCCCAGCGGTATTCAATAAATCAAAATATGTGACATAATGGGCGATATGAAACTTGCACATCTCATTTTACCCTAGGCAAATTAAATGTCCTTAAGAAGTTAAGCTTATTTTCTGAACTGAATACATCGGCTGGCATAAAACTACGTGAAGTCAGCTGTTAAGGCTACCGCCAGCAGAGCTAGATGGAACACACGGCTTCACAAGAACACCCTAAGCGCAGGCGTATGTGTACTTATAGAAACCACGACAACTTAGACTTCTATATTGTAATCAACACATATACTAGAACTGCATCTGGAGGTTTGCCTGTACCATCCAGACTCTTAAAAAGTGAATCCTAAACACAGAACTGTTAGTGTTTATGATGTATTTTTTATTACAAAGGATGTCCAAGCAAAACCGCCTGCATAGTAGAGAAGGTAGCACAACCATCAGCAATTCCTCCAGCAATCCAGGGAAAATAGTGCTTTAAGTAAGTGAGAATTTCAAAGAAAAATAAACACTAGAAATCAAATTTAGATTTGGCTATATGAGATGCTTGAACACTGTACATAAATATTCAATTTACTTCCATGATGGTGGAGAATACTGCCCAATACTGTCACAGTTTTCCCGATATTACATAAGGGACTTGTAATGTAACATTTCTTTACAGCTTCCTACTGAATTGTGAGCTATTACTTGTTTAAAAACCACTTTTTGTTGCCATGATTTTTTTTTTTTCAACAAAAAAACCAAAGCGCATTGTATGCCCTTTGGCCAGCCTTGTATGTGCCTTGATCCAACGCTACATGTGTTCAGCTTTTGAAACTCGACAAATTTTTCATACTTCCTAAATATGAAAAATTATGGTCTAATTGCTGAATAAACCTTAAGAAAAACACACAGAATAATTGTGCTTGCTTTCGGAACTATGCTACCATCACTAAAAATAGGAAATTGCCAGCACATTAGTCCTAAACACCTCCATGTATTTTTCTAGGCATAAAAATAAAAGTGAAGTACAAATAAAGGAAACAACAGTATCTTGAGGTTCTGTATCATTTCTACATTGAAGAGTCAGTATTTTGTGGATAAACCCATTTTTGGGAAGGGGTTCCACTATTCGCTCAGTTGATAAAAAACAAGAGTGGTCTCAATGCCTTTTTCTCTTATGAGCACTGTTGCCATTGTCTGGTCTGATACTTTTTAAGGGTGGTCTTGGAGAAGCTGATTTGTCTTTTTAATATCCTTTTGAGAGAGTGAGGTGGCATCAAAAGACCTGAGATCCATTGTCTACCCTTAGCAGGTCGATTGTCACATCAAAACCCAGTGACACAGCGACCACCCGCAAGTGCAGCGTAGAGTTCTACACCAGCGGCAAGGGCCACCGTGCAGGTCAGGTGTCCTGAGAGCTGCACAGCGCTCTGTCAGCATTCCTTCCTGCCACTGTGGTCGAGAAAACTGTTTCCAGAGCTTTGCTAGACACTGCGGCTTCTCCCCTCCTGACACAGATCGACGGCCAACTGGAAACCTTATTTATTTGACATCTTTAAAATGTTACTCAACATTTTCTCTTTTGACTTCCTGCCATAGAAGATGTTCATTTTCTATGAACGAATGGAAAGTACATTTGACACCAAATATGAGGAACATTTTTCTAAAAATAGTTTCTCAAGGTTTTGAAGGGTTCAACTACAGTTCTGCTGAAGTTGGGGAAAGGAATGGGTAGTTTATGAAGACGTATGGTTTACAAAAGTGAAAAATGTATTATATCAACTACTTTCCAATTATTAAAACTTGGATAAGCACAGAAATTTTTATGTATATTTTTATTATTTCTTGTAAGACAAATCCAAACATGTTCCACATAAAAGTGCACATCACCAAGTGGATAAAAATTTACTATTTACTTAGCTTTAGCTTTCAAAGGTTAATCTCTCTCAAAGGTGAGAGATTAACAAGTTATACATGGATTCTATGAAATCCATAGTGAAATAATAGGAACAAAATAACTTCAGTCTTGAATGTATAGACTATGTAGATTTAACAAGAACACAACCTAAAGAATAACATCAGAAAAAAAAAATCACTCCCTTGCCAAATGTTAGAGCAAAATCGGAGATTGCTTGTAGATGCAGCAACCTGTAACTGACATTACCGCGCCAGCTCTGGCTCCCATTAAAAACACAGCTGTGCCCTGCCTGTCAGCGGGGCTCACCTATCAAAAGTATCCCCTTGGGTCAGGAGAACTAGTGAGAAGCGATGCTTTCCTAAGGACATTTTGTGGCTTCCTGCAGCGGGCGGCTCCACGAGGAATCCCTCGGGATCTGCAGGTGCTGGAAAGCACCTTGGAAGCGGGTGTTGAAGGAGCCCATCAGTGACGGATTGTTCAATACGAGCCGCTGGAAACAAACGTGATGTTCAACACTCACTTCTCCTCCTTAGCACGATTAGCAAATGTAGCATCATCTTGAAATTACAACTACTGTACCTTTTGGCTGGAGATTTATGGTTCAATTAGCAGGAAAAAAATAACATTACAGGTTGAAAGACAAACACATAATATAAAAGAAGTTTATTATCTCTTCAATATAGAAAGAAAAGCAATTGCATATTTGAATAGATCAGAGAAGTCCTCATGAATAAGGTAAAATGAGGACTGAGAATTGGAGGAATGTAACAAGAAAACAAGAAAAGCAGATATTTGCCATGAGGGAAAGTGTTAAACAAAATCACCCAGAAGAAATAATCAATAGCCCTGAACCCTGGCATTGGTCAGAATCAAGTGGGAATGATTTTATTAGGACAACCATGCCTCAGGGCAGACTTACAGAATTAAAATCTCCCAGGCAAAGGCGGGTATGGATGAGGGCTGCAGCCAGTGATTTAGAAGGTATTTGGAGAAAAGCCAACGGTATAGATAAAATGCACTCTTGAAGGAGGAAGACAGAAAGGGTGGATTTGGGGTTTGTTGCTTTCTGGGTGGTGAGTGTGTTGCCAGGCTTTGTGGTGTGGTGTGTCAAATTCCAAGTTATGACATCTGCCCTGATGCTTTGGGGCTATGGTTTTTAAGCAAGAGTGTAAAAAGTCAATAATACACTTGAAGAACATTTGGTAGAAAAAGAGGATATTCTAGATGAGTGAGGGGACCAGAAGCAGATGTATTAACACAACACTGTTGCTGTGAAGAGAAATAAGAGTTGAAACGAGGTGAAAGTGGAGTCTAAGAAGAAAGAAAACAGTACAGTGGTGTAAATGACAAATATTGTTCAGCGCAGGTAAGTGAAATGTTGGTATGACAATCCAGGATGATGGACGACAGTTCTGGTGATGCACTTCTCGGGATTTTTGTCTTTGTTAGTCTTGAATGGGAGACTATGCACAGCACAGGTTTATCCTCTTATTCTTCATGCTGTTCTCTTTAACACTCAAGAGCATTCCAAGTAATCAATTAAAATCAGTTTATGTTCAAAGAATTTAAAGTTAGTAAGAAATTCTACAAGAAACAAGGTTAAAAACAAACAAACAAAAACCAAAACAAATGGTCAGCACTGGGAAAGGAAGCCTATATAATAACAGGCTGTTATTCAAATGGAGAGGGTGGATGAGACAGCCCACAGGATAACAGAAACACACAAGATGAGTCCAAGCAACACCTCCTCTTCTGTAAGAGCAGAGAAGAAAAAATGACTAAGCCAAATATTAAGCACAAGGAAAGACAGAAGCTAGGAAGATGTCTCAGTGGCTAAGAGTGCTTGTTTTGCAAGCACAGGGACATGAGTTCAAATCTCTTGTACCCATGTAAAAAGCTTGGCATGGATGTATATGCCTGCAGCCATAGCACTGGGCCCGAAACTCACAGATTCCAGGTCCTGAGAGCTCCCTGGCCAGTCAGGTTAGCCAAGCAACAGGCTTCTTCATCAGTGACAGGCTCTTCTTTTTCTTCTTCTTCTTCTTTTTTTTTAAATAAATACATGAGGATTTTTAATTGTATACATGTTCGAACATGGGACGCAAACCTTCTGTGGAAACAGAAGAGGAATGCGGCCCAGATGTCTAGGGGTACAGAGTTTTTTTTTTTTTCTTAATTTTATTTTTATTAATTACACTTTATTCACTTTTTATCCCTCCAAAGCCCCTCCCTTTTCCCTTTCTGGTCCCACCCTCCCTCCCCTTCTTCATGCATGCCCCTCCCCAAGTCCACTGATAGGGGAGGTCCTCCTCTCCTTCCTTCTGATCTTAGTCTATCAGATCACATCAGGAGTGGCTGCATTGTCATCTTCTGTGGCCTGGTAAGGCTGCTCCCCCCTCAGGGGGATGTGATCAAAGAGCAGGCCAATCAGTTCATGTCAGACTCAGCTGCCATGGGCTACATCTGTGCAGGGGTTCTAGGTTATCTCCATGCATGGTACTCGGTTGGAGTATGAGTCTCTGGGAAGATCCCTGTGTTCAAATCTTCTTGTTCTGTTGCTCTCCTTGTGTGGTTCCCATCCTCTCCAGCTCTTACTATTTCCCACTTCTTACATAAGATTCCATGCACTCTGCCCAACAGTTGGCCATAAGTCTCAGCGTCTGCTTTGATAGTCTGCAGGGCAGAGGCTTTCGGAGGCCCTCTGTGGCAGGTTCCTAGGTTGTTTCCTGTTTTCTTCTTCTTCTGATGAACATCCTCTTTGCCTTTTGGGATGGGGATTGAGCGTTTTAGTCAGGGTCCTCTCTCTTGATTAGTTTCTTTAGATGTACAGATTTTAGTAGGTTTATCCTATGTTATATGTCTATATGAGTGAGTATATACTGTGTGTGTCTTTCTGCATCTGGGACAACTCACTCAGGATGATCCTTTCCAGGTCCCACCATTTACCTGCAAATTTCATGATTTCTATAAACTTGTACAACCACTCTGGAAATCAATCTGGTGCTTTCTCAGACAACTAGGAATAGCGCTTACTCAAGATCCAGGCATACTACTCCTAGGCATATATCCAAGAGAGGCTCAAGTACACAATAAGGACATTTGCTCAGCCATGTTTGTAGCAGCTTTATTTGTAATAGCCAGAG